CCAGTGACCAGATCTTCAGCGAGTGATCCATTCCGCAGCTGATTATCCGATGGCCGCGCAGATGGAAGTCGGCGGACAACACCTCATCCCTGTGTCCTTCGACGCCACCGAAAATGGCCACACAGTGGTCGGTCTTTATGTTCCACAGTCTTAACGTATGGTCTTTGCTCACCGATAGTAAGAGGTTTGGATCCAATGGACTCACTTTGAGATCATTGATAGCATTGCCTGGAAATCAAAAGACATTCATGTTTAAAAAAACAATTATAAATGAATGGGAAATAGATTTAAAACATAATTGCATTGAAAGACATTGCATTTGAAATGGTGTGAATAGAAATGGATGCAAACCGTGTCCGATATAGTGTTTGATACACTGTTGAGCGGTATTACTTATAATACGGATAATGCCTCGACTGCCGGCGGCGGCCAATAGCGGGACACCCGTCACGTCGTCGTAACTCCAGGCGCACGTATAGAAGCTCTCGTCGGCGTCCGTATCGGCATAGCATTGGACTAAACTAATGGTTCCGTCATTAATACATTCATAAATGGAGACCCGATTGTTGCCAACGGTTGCAAAATAGTTGTGACCGTCGGGTAAGTGTTGGTTAAATTGGACGCCAAATATGGGAGATCTGTGGTCTTCTCGCAACCAATAGGAGAATTTGTACTGAGGTTTGCAGTACTTCTTGGGACCACTTTTATCTGATTTGGCTTTCGTTGTAGAGCTCGAAGAATCGCCGTTCGCTTGTTGTGTGGCATTCGTTGCGTTCCTCTTCCTCTTCTTGGCCTTCGGTTTATTTGCCGGCAGTTTATCGCAAATATGATCGTCAGTCATACCATTGGTGACACTCTTTCGCATTGAGTTACGAGTGGTCACACCCTTCCCGTTGTTACTACCGTTTGAAGCCTTATTATCCTATCATTGAGTGACAAACATATTAACGCACGTCTTGTCGGACGAACCGATGGAAACACTTACGTCTTCGCCATCGGACACGTCTTTGTCGATACTATCGTCAATCTTATCGCTCATGTCATCGATGGTCAAATCAATTGTCTCGTTGAGATCAATCACTTTCGACATTTTCCTATTGATGGCATTCAACTGAAAGACAATATGAGTCATCAAACCATAGCTAACAACGTGTGGTAAGTCTTGAGCTCATCCATCGAAACACTCACCGAATTCCTGAAGAACACAAACATTAAACCGAAGACTCATTGATAATAAACACCACTGTTTTTGGCCACAAATCACAATTCATTTGCATATAAAACACATTACGAAACAAACAGTGTATCAAAAACTTTGTATTAAAACTAATTATACTGTGATTTAAACAAATAATAAATGAGTATTAAAAACAAGTCAACGCTTTTTCAATGCATGCATTTTGCCAGCGATTTGTGGTCTAAAAACATATAAAAGTTTAGTTAAAACAACTATCGATGCGATTGTGTTGTAAAGTCTGCCACAAACAACACATTTAATTGTAAATTAAGTGCAAAATTAGTGTATAATTAGCGGCAATTAAACGAGCGTTTAGTTTGTGTTTACGAAATGCATTGCAAACACAATACAAACAGTTGTGAAGTGAATGAGTGAATGAATGAATAAAGTCCCGCCTTTTCAGCACTAAAAGCCATTCAGAAATTCAATTCAATATACAATTCAAACCATTTATTGTGAAACCCGTTGTGTGTTCGCACATGTCATCACCTGATCCACGACCAGACACTCGCCACTGTCCGCACGTTTAGCGCCCGATCAACACATTTCACATACAATTAATCGCTTTTAAATCACACTTTTATCACTATTTATGGCCCGATTTTGTAATCACTGTATTATTGCAGACATTATTTATGGGCTGTTTGTGTCAAGTGTTTGGCTATGTTTTGGGCCCTTTTGACGCTCACTATTCATACTGTTATAGCGTATTGTTTATACATATAAAACAGACCGTATTGTCGGCATATGTTTAGCACGTTTTCAGCCAAATATAGTGTTGAAAAAAGTTATTGCACTCAAAAATGTGTGTTTGAAATGCGGTTTAAACGCAAACACGTGTTAAACATAAGTTTGATTTAGTGTTGTTGTAGTGACACAAGTGGTGACCGTATTGTCCGGCGATGTCTGTCGAAGCCGAGGGGTTGTCCCCGAAGACCGGCCATAAACCGCAGAAGAATGGCTTAAGAGCTGTTCCCACACGTGTGTTGAGTCCGTGGAGTGATTCAAATGAATTGATTACTGTTTTCAATAGTATTTATCNAAGAATGGCTTAAGAGCTGTTCCCACACGTGTGTTGAGTCCGTGGAGTGATTCAAATGAATTGATTACTGTTTTCAATAGTATTTATCAAAACAATGATTTAAATGGCTTTGATTTGGACTACAATTTGCTAACGTTTGCCAAAAATAAGATCATTATTTGGTTGACACGTCTTCGGCATAACATCGATATCACTGTTCATCTGATGGCCACTAAAGAGATCGTAAACGCGTTGATTGAAGACAATTCAAACCATCGGACCAGAGATGATGGCGCAGAGGAGGAGGAGGAGGACAGGGATGAGAGCGTTGTTTATTCATTGTATTGTAAGGCAATTGAAATGTTGTTATCTATGATGTGGTTAATGATATGATGTGTCTTTGATTAGGTCTATCGGTGATCCGTTTCTGTACATCAATCTCGCAGTACTCGCACGAGAACAACATGAAGAGTGTGCGGCGTTTAGCGCACAGATATTCCTGTCCTCAATGGGTGATTGACTTCCGACACAATCTCTGCCATTCATCCGGTAATCAGCCGTCGATTGATGAGCTGAGAAACGCGGCACTCATTGGACTCAATTGGTTGAGACAATACTTTTGGCTCAAGATTTTAGACAATACTAACAATGCATACAATAATTGTTGCAATTTTTATGAATTAATTAATAGTTATATTAGTATTGATAATAAGAATAAGAAGAAGACTAAGAATGAGATAATATCTGCTATCAAATACTCGAGGAATGAGTTAATATCGGCTTTAATACAGCATTTAATTAGTAAAGAGAATATCAACGAAAAGAAATTCAATTCAGAGTCTCTGAAAGTACCGAAAGTTTATTTAAAAAAGTTTACAAACATTTTCGCAATTGTCATAAATTTTAATTCACTCCCAATTGTATTGAATTTAATCGTTAAACACTTTGATTGTGAAAACGGGTCGCAAAGACATTTAGCAATGAGTTGGTTCTCCACTATTGTGCGAACCATTGGATCCGATAATAAAGAGTCCAAATTTAAGCGTAACTTTAAATCCACATCATATAAGACATTAATGCCGAGAATAGATTGGGTTAGACTACTGTATAGTGTAGTGAAGCGGCCGAACCCTAAGACATCGGCATTGATTGAATTGATTGCACCCATTGTTGCGGATGTCATACCAGAAGAGAAGATTGAAGTATTGAAGAATCTGTCGAATCGGTTCTCATATGAAACAATTGAAT